CACACACACACACACACACACACACACACACACACACACACCCCACCAGTGGTTTGCCTAGGTGTGGCGGGATCAGATAGGGCTCAATTCCCACACTGTGTCTCCGGTGCTGTCCCCTGCAGGGCCATGGGTCAGTGAGGAGCGTCATGTCTCAAGGTGAGGCTGGCCATGTGGTCCTCTCTGTGGGCTGGCTGCTCTAATTGGGATCAATGTCTTCAAGGCCTGGTGGGCTAGGATGTGCTCAACTATCTCCTCCTGCTCCTTCATCTGCTTCCATGTGCTCTGATCAGATATGTCCTTCTCCCAGAACTGCAGATTTAATGCCGTCCTTTGAAATAAATTCTTCTGGGGGGAGAGGTAGACGTCCACTTAGTTCCACAGGTTCCCTACTCCACCTCACGGCTCCGTTCCCTTGCTATTCTATTGCACCCCCTTTGTGTTTTGCCTTGGTATGGCAGGATCAGATCGGGCACAATTCCCACACTGTGTCTCCAGTGTTGTCCCCTGTAGGTCTATGGGTCAGTGAGGGACATCATGTCTCATCGTGGGGCCAGTTATGTGGTCTTCTCTGTGGCCTGGCTGCTCTAATCAGAAACATCATCTTCAAGGCCTGGTGGGCCAGGATGTGCTCAACTCTCTCCTCCTCCCCCTTCATCTGCTCCCATGTGATCCAATCAGATAGGTCCCTCTCCTGGAGGTGCAGATTCAACGCCATCCTTTGAAATAAATTCTTCTGAGGGGAAGGGCACGTGTCCACATAGTAGTTGGGATTGGGCCCAGTCCCTCAGACATCTCCAATGGTTCCCTACTCCACTCTGGCATGTTGCATTCACATCTTGGAGCACTGGGTTGAAGTCTGGTCCCTCTTGACCTGTGGAGATATAAACAATACCTTCCCCTTGGGTGGGTTAGTGCCTCATGGCCCTGCTACCCATTTCTTCCTTATTATCATCAATTTTTTTCCTTTTCCCCACTTCCTCCCCAATTGTCTACCGTGTGCATCCCTGCATTTGATCTGGTCCCTGCCCTACTACCCGGTCCTCATCCAAAGAATGTTTGTATACACTAACTTTTTCCCTGTGCCCCTTTTGCATTTTTTTTTATAGCTTACCTCAGCGGACTCATGTTGTACTTGTCCTTTTGTGTCTGACTTACTTCGCTTAGCATGATTTCCTCCAGTTCTTCTCATGCAGCAATGTGCTTCGTAAATCCATCACTGGTTTTTAGTGATGCGTAGTACTGCATTGT